CCAATGACAACATTGCAAGATTATGGGACAGGGCGGACACGGGCTACAGACTAATGCACACGCGGTGCTATAGCAATTACCCTGGTCGTTTCTTGACCTCACGCCCAATGGAATGACCAGTCACTGTCATATATTCAAATGACTACGAACAACTTTGGCTGAGAGGGGACTTTCCATAAACACCAATGTCAATTCTTATTTAAGATGTAAGGTTGATAAGTTCCTGACTTCCAAATATAATCAGCATATCCTTCCATGTTTAAGTCCCAATAGAGTTTTACAATTGATAAAATTAAAAGAATTTGATCAGTTTACATTAAGTATGAAGTCTGTGGTTGGTATAGTATGTACCCCCTTATATGTATCATCATTGTCTGAGCCTGTACACTGTAAAATTGAGTTTTTACGAGAGTGGACATTTTCGCGTCGTGATTCTTTACACTGATCAAGGTGTTGTCATTTTTGCGTTGCAAATAGTTCTGAAATATATGTATTTCATATGTCTAATTTCTATATAGTCTATGAATAGATATTTGCGTTTGTATATTTTTCGCTTTTTACTCAATACTAAAAACGCGAGAATTTACAGTACCTCGCATAAACACTGACTTATTTCATACGTACCCGTGCTATGCTGTTGGAATATGTAAGCCTCCATGTTAAGTCTGTGCCCCGCAATTGGTATTACTGATTTTGCCATGTAATATCTGATATATAATACAAGTTGGGTTTTCAAATAAACTCGGAGAGGTATTAACTGTGCATAGTCGCCTAGGTTGTTACACTTCGTTTGCCAATTGATAAGGAGCTAGCGGAACGCACTGACGCCGACCTATAAGACAAACGCATATCTCCTGACACACAAACACACCTATGCATGTATAATCTACACATTCGCCGATCTGCACTGCATGACCTCTTTGTTTTATAGACCTGTAAACTACATAAACGGAAAAGAACTGCAATATTTACATGTGAACCAAAATATGAGTCAATACCTTTACTATCATGGTTTTGAATTTTTAACTGTCACACATGGTTAAAGATGTGAAGAAAGACATGTACAGCTTGGTACGCCGAGCAATATTTCGATAACGTTACGCTTCAATTTCCCATGAAGTGGTCTTGTTTAAATCGATGATCGTAAAACCGTGCACGCATTTGGGACAAAATATAAACAGACCGATAAAATAGTGTTGTGTATAGTTTATGTGGTATATGTATATACTTCGCTTTGTTTTTAGACATCATCAGGTATGTTTCAAGACCAATGCTTTCGTCATGCTATTTCAGTCAAGTAAACACGTTTTTAAGCTGGCATCAGATCCGCGCTATCGCAGGAAGGCAAAAGTACAATGTACACACACTGAGAGGCATGCCCTTAAATGACGTCACCTGTCTTTGGACCTGAACCTAATAAAACCAAACCAAAATCATGTAGGCATATCAAATGTACCCAAATACCTCAGCAGAACAAAAAATCAATCCTAACACATAAATTATACATGATGATCTATACAGTTTCAACGACACGTCACCTTCCTGTCTTATACCCCAGGGAGTTCTGTTTTTATTTCTTCAAATTTCGATTTTCTTTCAAACTTTGTCAGTATATACCGATGTTTCACATGATTAATCGATATAACATTTTTCGTAAACATGAATTTAAAATTTACATGATATATTTCAAGTGAAGTATGAACCAATTTTCATGAATTCAACATGTGGCATCAGTTGCAATAATATCAAATGAACATGGGTAGGGTGGGGTAAACATTTGCATTTGTTCCATGCGTGGCAAGTCTGAGTTTCTAGAAAAATAGGCAGTCCCTATGAGGTGTCTATTTCTTTATATATCATCCATATATGGTTATGCATATACTTTTCTGTCAACGTCATACTCTAGTATGCAAATGCTAGGATGTTTGATTACAATAGTTGGCGTACAAAATAATGTCCCTGGTCAAAAACGAATGCAGACAGTTCCTTTTCACGCGGCTCCAGAAGAGTACTAAATATCTGTCTTTGTACTGATCGCTCCTAATTAAAATTTCATGTCACTTTATATTTGTTCTTGCCTAATAAAAGGCATTCCCTCAGGACATTGTTTTTTTAATTTCTGCATACCATTATCGTAGATAAATATTTCACACCTTAAAAGCACACGATTAATAATAATTCTGTTTGTGTTGGGATATAATCTCTGTGATGGTATAGCCAAGGCAAGTTTCAAAGTCTGATTTAGATATAAATATAGCAATGTAGTTCATTCCCATGTCCTAGTTTCTATAAATAGACGTCCTACTTGATTGAGAGGTTATTGATTGCATTAATATAGTCATCTATTTCATCTCAAAGCCTGTGACACACTTTGTTCAGAATATCAGATATACATGAAATATTAATGGGAGCAAATCTATGGGCAAAATCTTAGTACATATTATATATAACTGTACCTTACCGGTTCGAGGGTTATTAGAAAAAAGTTGGTCTGCTTTATCAGACTGCATATGTCTTTAAGACGAATAAATGTGGGTAACCTGCAGAATCGCATTTACCTACTGTGTCGTCTGCTCAGGAGACAAAGAAGATATCAAAATTGATCAGTTGTCTAAATACTTGAAGTATATGGGGTTTTTTTCTTTCCTGATTTACTGTTTTATTATCGGGGATGTTACCCTAGGTTTCTCTGGTAGTAAGCCCGTTGTACGACAAATGAGACCAGGGAGAATTTCATGTTACAGTGTCCAAAGTGGTTTTTGAGTGGCCCTATCATCAGTGGACATCGTTGTCACATGACCTTCGCCTTAAACCCTCTAACAAACAAAGAAACAAAGAAACGAAACATTCTGCTCAATTGGTATAGTACTGTTCAGCCATACCAAAAGGTATGCATTGTGTCAACTCCTAAGAATAGGTCATAGCAAAATAGTTAGACCTACGACAAAGGCCTAGAGCACATGCATATTAAAGACCTAAACATGCTCTTTGTCCTTTGACCATCAACTTCTTAACTTTTCAAGGTATTGATAGAGACATCACAAAAACCAACTTTTGGTTGAAAAAGATGAGATATGTTATCCGAACTAATTTCACATAACCAAGAGTTGTTCGGCTCAATATGTTTTGGTCACATGTGCGAACTGAGGAACTATAAGCCGTCTTCTCCAGGCAATATGATAATGCAATGCAGAAAACATCGATAAAGGACGGTAACGTAGGAAACTAGAAAATTGTCCTTGTACCACGAGAAAGGAAGCTTACAAATTGTAGTAATAAATGGTGTCAAAGGCAAAGATCTTTACTGTTATAGTTGATGCAGCAGGTTTTTGTTCTCCAGTGTACATAGTATATTCAAATAAATCCCCTTCCTCGAATCTGCCAGGAGTGCCATATTCCCCACTTCATGTTATATAATGCACCATTCTTTCTTCGAATCTTGCACATATATAGCCATTAGAGTAATCTGTCATGCTTGATTTCTCTCCGTTTTGGATTAAGAAGGTCTCGAGGCAGGTGTTCGATTAATTTCAGCCCGTGATGCTTCACAAAGTAAACACTGAATTGGATATGTAACTTATTAATATTCTGTTTATGCATATTTTCTCTCGCTAAATCAATCGTGTGTCTATTTGAAAGTTAAAGATAATGATATAATTTGTATAATTTAGTACTATAAAATGATTTTGTGTATATATAGCAAAGGTCACCCACTCACGTTCCTCCAAGGTCTGTGGGCGATCGTTTATACAATCTCATCTATTTTGACTCTATAGCTTTTAATGTATAAGCCGTATAAACGAACGATTTATTTTTAGGTCCCTCATAGATTAAATCTCATTACAGACTTGTTTTAGAATCAAGATAACTGAAATTCATTTGATCTTTATAAATAAAACTGGATGAAATTCAAGTTCACCAAACGCTGCCAGATATTGAAATCAATCGAAGCATAAAAAAGCAAAACGCACGTGAATTCTGTTAAAGTTTCTGATATGGAAGGACATGTGCGTCTATAAAGAAATGAATATTTATTTATTGTCGGCAGTTTTTTGGATAAAACATGGCCAATTATGAAATAGGACTCTTTGTTTATCAAATACTCAGATAGTCATAGGTCGATTGGCTACCTCTGAAATAACAGGAAAGCAGCAGGTTTCGTAAAACAAATATCTTGTTTAAGTCGGGCGTAACAAAATATTCCGCAATATGTAAATAATGAAACAAGTGAAACCTATATATTTGTTTGTTTTTATTAGATATTTTTATACAGATATCCCAGTTTACTACTGACTTTGTGAGTTTATAGGTAGATTGTATACTCATGCACTGTATAACGCTTTAAACCGGTATTTGTATTAAAACAATGCAGTACATTAAAATATTAGACTATTTGTATAATATAATATACACTAATTTTGGAATGAAGTTTGATAACGCCGCCAATAATATTGCAAAAACAAAACTACCGTTTACATTACAAAACTTGAAACTAAAATGCTTTGCTAGGAATAACAAACAATAATAAAAGTATGTACTGTTTTTTTTCTCAAGCCTCTGTTGAGGTTAGACTCGTCAACACTGACGCCGCAAATGTTTTTAGATGAAATATATTTTATTTTGAATTTTGTACAAATCAGATGAATCATAGGATTCACGAGTGTATCACGTCCCGTCCTATAACAGTCTGAGACAATGAAGCGTTTCAAAACATAGAAAAATTACTTTCTTTTCTCTTTAAACACCATATCTTGTTATTCTTGCGTTATACACCTACTAGTTGTATTTATCTTGTTTTATAAGCCAAACTGGATTGCATCTACGAAACCATATTGTATTGCATTGATGAGGACAAAGAAATAATATGATAATTTTAATTTTTAAATGAAAAAAATCAAGACTCGTGTCATTCCTCTCATAATCGTTTCTGTAAAAACTAATATTTATAGGCATTATCGAATATATTCATCTAATCAAGGGTCGTTCTTCTGTCTTTTCAGGAAGCCAGCATGGCGAATAATTCGACGATCTACTATGACGTTTCCACGCCCTTTCCGTCTCTGCTGAACCATACCGAGGCCGCGGGGGACAATGGGACCCCTCCTAGCTCGGTGTGGGATATATACAAACAACACTGTCCCGAAGCCACCATGATTGACAAATATCTTACCCCTTACGTTTACGTCGTCGGATTTCCGGGAAATATTCTTGCGCTGGTGATTTGGCTGCAGAAAAGAATGCGAAATTCGTCCGGATATTATCTCGCCGCTCTCGCTATGGCGGATTTGGTATTTCTCTTGTTGCAGATAGTGTATGAACTTAATGAGAAATGGGGTATTCGATGTTTGGATGTCGAGTTCGTGTGTGAATTCTATCCCATAATATTCCTGACGTCTCAATATCTGTCGCCGTTGTTGGTGTTAGCTTTCACAGTGGAACGATACATATCCATATGTCATCCGTTTTCAAGAGAGAAGTTCTGCACGACGAAAAGAGCCAAGGTAGTCATCGTATGTCTGTTCATATTTTCGTTTTTCATCAACGGTATTCAAGGCTATTTTTGGCACTACGACAGTGGAGGACGCTGCAGTCTGAGGGCGGATGTGGTAAGAAATAACGAGGCTTCGTTCTGGTCGATTTGGACTTGGTGCGTTGAAGCACTAGTGTTCTTTCTTGTTCCCATTCTTATCCTCGTCTTCAATATCCTCGTAATTGCAGAGGCGAAACGACTGTCAAAGTTTGAGAAGAATCACCTACAATCACGAACTCACAAGAACTCGGCCACAACTGTAATGTTGCTGGCCGTGTCTTTTTACCAAATTTTCACCACTTTGCCTGTCACAATCGTTGTGACTTTGTATTATAGTTTCCCCATGGGGGACCCCGAAAACTTAAATCCCCCTGATTCTATTTGGCAAAGACATTTTGATTATGTGTATATCAAGACAATTATTGAAGAAGTCGGATTAACTCATTATGCATGTAATTTCTACATTTATTGTATAACCGGTAAAGTATTTAGACAAGAGTTTAAGCGAATGTGGAGGTCCCTTGTGTGCCTCAAAATGAAATCGGCTTTACCTAATTGGACAACGGAATACACGAGTCTTCGTGGTAGCTTGCGTAACAACCCCAAAAACCTGACAGTGCGCATGTCCAATGGTCACGCCAATGGCCACAGTACAACGAGCACTACGAACGACGTTGAACCGCCTGTGGTTGAACCCACGGAAACAACATTGTGAAATACGATGTGATAAAGTTGTGCATATTTTCTGATATTAATGTAAACGTTCTGATTTTATCCCAATATATCTGCTAGCGTCATTTGTGCTTGACGTTTGACGAATATAGAATGTATGCATGTGACGTCATCATTATGTGATTGTGCATGCATGTTAACATACTCGTGTATGTAAATGTGCTTCTTATCCGCCATAATATTTAAACAGATACACAGGTGTATTGATAACCAATCATTCTGGAACGCCAAAGAAATCTCAATGAATGTTTTAGATGTATTCTTGGATAGACCATTGTCATTTGTAAAGATAAGGAATTGTTGCAACACATTCCTAGGGTTTCTAGAATGTTACTGGACTATCTTGTATCGCGCTATATAACATTAAAGATTAAAGTAATATGCCAATATATGATGTATATATATATTTTATAATAAATAAAGTTGAGAACATAATAAACATAACATCCTTTGATTCACAATGACTTCATTCAGAAACATTCACAAAAAAATCTCATATTTCTACTTATTAAAAACAAGAAATGAACACTTTAAAAGTTTAAATGTTCGCGATTTTAGCGTAGTGCAAATAAGCGCGAAAATATCCATACGCAAATATAAATTCATTAATAGATAAATAGACTATTTAAAATTTCAGAACAATTGCCAATGCGAAAATTTCTGTTTGCAATTAGTATAAAGGATCATAACGCGAGAATTTCAACCCGCGAAATTTTTTAGCTTTACAGTATGTAAATGCTTTACTTAACCCTTAACCTAATAATATGTCATAAATGGAATCTGACGTCACTTTGCTCTGAATGACTCCGTAAGTAAAATTGCCAACATGTAAAATTTGAAAAAAACATTCTCCTTAAATGTATTAAGTAGTTCAATATCTTTCATCTGATGTTGGTGAAGAAGACACCAAAGCTTCCAAATGACCTTAATGTGTCAAATATAAAGCTAGTTACATTAATTCACAACATTTATAACAAACGTATATCTTTAAAAAAAAAAGGGTTCGTGACGATTGATTTATGGTCTTAGCTCATACATAAGATATAACATGTATCTAGTGTAAAACTTTGTTTCATGTTGGTCTTTGAATCCTATCTTAATCATCGTCAGACCTCATATTCATACGGACTAAAATATTCCAAAGCATTTCTTTCAATGTTTATTTTTTCTCTTACTATTGACATACTGTGAATTTGATAGAAAAATATATTCAGTTCGCTCTGTAAAAATATATATATTGATTTATTAAAAGATGACAAACCCCTTAAAATAGCACAGAGTACTTCGATATTATAAAGGTATGATGTGACATTTGGTGTTTGATATATTATAATTTCAGATGTGACAAAATGAGAATTTTCCAATTTCATTTAGGTTTTATTTACTACTTTAACTTTCTCACAAACTTAATACTGCAATGTATAGCCTATGTGTATAGACAAATGTATTCTTGACTCATGGATCCTTGATACAATGTGCCCGTTTTTAAATGGTGCCCACTCGACCTTTCTTATATTACATTAAAACTCAGATCTGACGACAAAGATCAGGACCAGTATTCATTAAGCCGTTCTCATGGCCAAAATCAGATTCTGTGCCCAAGCTCAAATTGTTGTTCCAGTAATGAATTTTATAAAAACATTGTCATTTGTCAATGATATGGAGAAACATTGAAAACACATCTGACCGAATGCCATTCAAATGTTTATACTTGAAAGTTTTGTTCTTTCGCATGCATTTTAGCAAGATACAAGAAAGTTGATTTGAGCACAGAATCCTTGTGTAAGCATGAGAATAGTTTCATGAATGCGGGTCAATGTTGTGATCATCTGAGTCATGATGTTGGCTCCACTTTTTGGACCATTCTGTGTGTTGAAGGTATAGATATGTGTTCCATACTTATGTTGTGACAATTTTGGGACATAAATCACAAAGCCAATCTCATCCTACGAAACCCTTCTAGTGCCAAAAGAATATATAAAATCTAAACAGAAAACGTGTTATTGAGCAATGCTAGTTTTGATTCAACCTACGATTATATGACATTTATATCGCTGTATCCAAAAGACAGAAATACTCTGAATTATTTCTTTTTTCCCGAATCCCTTTTTGTTTCATATTTTGCTTTGTTTTATTACACATGTATTACGAGTAGGTAACCTGCATATTAAAAGATGATTTTTGAGAATATTGACTTGTTACTCAGTTATCATGTAAACTCCATTTCATCAAAAAAGGACAGACGGATGTACAAGTAATTGCTTATTGTGATTTTGCAAGAAACGATGCCCTGCTCATGTCTTTTATTGTTTTGGTTGAACCATTGTCTTTTTAATTGATAGTAATTCAAATTCATCATTGTGTTTGCATAAAATGAATGAAGACCTGGCTGTTTCAGATTCATTAAACTTATGACGTATTAAAAGGAAAATCAACTATTTGAGGATCTTTTCCCACTGCAGGCAAACCATTATATAACTCCACTGTAGATTTCTACACATACAGTGTCTTCTCCTAAAATACGTTTTGGCTATAACTATAACTATAACACGAGTTGGCAACAATACCTAATTGACCAGGAACATTTCGGCAGGAGTCGCGCTATGATTATAAGAGGTCCATAGTTCGAATCAGGGCCTGGTCCTGTTGTAATCCGTCACTCAGACTTCTGTTGTTGATTCTGTTTTTGTTTATTTTATCATTAATGCTACTACATAAGAGTCCCTCCCACAAGGTAATTTGTTTTCGAAAGAGGTTTATAAAAGCTTTCGTTATGCCACATCACGTTTTCATTGAATCCAAAGCTACAGTTTTCGGCAGTTGTACGGGATCCTGAAGCTCTCATTAGAAAACAAATTGTGATGCAGCTATCTACTCATGTCATACAGCTGATGAACCATGATATCATTTGCCGGTCCTTTGATCACAACTTATCGGGTAGCAGTGCACATTTTTTGAGGTATTTCAATTTTGTTATATATCAACATGTCTATGACATCAATTTGACAATAACTGAATAAATCGGCAACGAAGATAATCCGTTTAATGTTAGTAATTGGCGTTTAAACACAGCAGATGTAATTTCGGAAATATTTTCAGCGATCTAAATTTTAATGTTCAGTATTTAATTAAGTAAGAGTATACTCTACAATGCTACAAACAAGTTATAACGATTTGTAAGTGCCCTTTGTCTGATTCAGTGTAAGTATAATTAACCTCGATATGTTTGACACAAACTATTCTACAAACTGATAAATCATATAAGGGGGAGACAACTCATAATTCCATCACCATTATGTTTATCTTCAACATATCGTTATACTTTTAGCATAGTTGAGTTCATAGGTCCGTCTCTCACAGGTAGCTATAACAGAACGCATATTTTACATTCAGAAGTAGATAACATGCTCATAACAGGATTTAAATTGTCTGTATCAATATATCCCTAATATCTACCTAATATCACACTTTATTTACAGCAATTACTGTAAAGCGTATTTAATTTGCTGTATTAACTGGGTCTTTATCAATTATAATAGCAAGTCATAAGTAAATTTGAAATACCTCAAATGTGCGTTTATTTTACAGCAGTCGACACATTAGATAAAAGCATAGTATTTGTCAAGACATTTTTTCCTGAAAAGTAGACATATTAGCAATGGAAAAACCAAACTGGGTGACTTGTGAAACTAACTCATGAATTGTAATTTATTCATATTTTGCAAATTTCTATTTGTGTTTGAAGATAATTGAATGCAAATTCAAATATTTTTTAAATAATATATGTCGTCTGAGACAAAATGGCGGAAGTAGTTATTTACGACAGTTAAGAGGTTGATAGAATTTTGCGATAGATTGTTGTGCTTTTCTGTGATTGCGTGAATTTCACGTCCCTTGTATCGATAAATTGGGTAATCTGATAACAATATCATATTGTCAATACGATAGAGGAGTTTTTTAAAAGACTATTTTTAGAAATGAGTTGTTTATGAGCCTCTCTTTGGTTTCAGATTTTAGTACTTACCGTTTTATCAAATATCTGTAATTGGGTTTATAAAAAAACCCACCTCATCCGTTTATTGAACTTATTCCAGCACGGTAAACATTAAGTATTAATTTAAGAATAAACTATCCGTTTTAGTGAGATGTTGTAAATTTCCGACGTTAAAAAATGTGTTTCTCTTTTGCCTGTGCTCGACATAAGTTTTGGAAAACATTGATGAGTTCCAAATGGATGGGGCAGTACATTTTTGGCTTAGTTTGGCTTGCTGCACCGAAATGTTGAATGTGTATATAGGTGCTTCCTTTGATCTATTTCGAGTGATTTCTTTTGTTTTATTTTTTCGCGAAAATTGATTTGCAATTGTGATATTGTCATGTCAGTAACAAAATATGTAAATACTGCCCTACGAAAATATTAATGTCGCAAAGGTGTACTTGATTTACAGTAACTAACAAGTGATTTGTATATATTGCAACGCTCTGTAAATGCACATTAATTTATTATGATATTGAGTTTATTATTAATAACTCGATATGAAGAGTTTTCCTCGCCTTATATACGTTGAGGAAATTTGATAACATAAATAATGTCATTCATCCAATTATTATTCTTAAATGTTTATGCATTTGTTCATCAGTTACACACTATATAAAAAAACTATTACTTTTTGTGAGTATGATTTTGTTGTTGTTGATATCTTATCTACATAACAAATAAGTTTTTCGATTTGTGTTATAAAAAAACTTTTAAACCTGGTTTGAGATTTTGATAATATTCAAAACCTCGACCTTAATATTACATCAAGATTTAAATGTAGACATCGAATTGGTAATTTTCACCCCATACAGTTTCTTAAACTACTTGGGTATGAAATACAATAAGTAAACTGACCTTTTCGTGTCGTTGGTAAATAGAAATCGGAGATTGTTGACTAACCCCTAATAAAAAGGACTGGAATATCCAATTAATGAATTAGTTAATTTAATTTGACACCAACTTCCATTAAAATACCAGTCAGGAACTTCTCAGCGCTCGATATAAGATACACGAAACGATATGATCACAGTCATGTTAGCAGCCCTTCACGTACAAATCTGTTCCCTGTAACTTTAAGGAATCCTATAGGTGTCTTTCGGAAATCCTAATATCACCTAAATTAAATGTACTCATAACCCAGTTTCACGACCGTTCTTTCTGTTACATGTAGAAACATCTTAGCATTGCTCCATTGAAACTCATTGCAATGAGTTGAGGACATAATCTTAAAAACAGTTTTTTCGCTTACTTCTATTTTCAAAAGGAAAAAAATTATCGAGATTTTTCCTGAAGCAAAGACCATTTAAGAACTTAATTAAAGTCTCATGTTACAAAAACATTAAGAAAATTTAACTATTGCATCAGCAACATTCGTCGTTGCACTATTATACTGTCGCCTAGGGGATGACGGTAATACATTATAGATCTAGTATGCATTACATAAGGAGGTCTTATTCAATTTCGAAAGACTCTGGTAAAGAAGTTAAGAGCCTCCTTGATAAAACTCCTTTATTTTTTTCCATTTTGAAATACACACATGAAAAATTAGTCTTGTATTTAAAATCACGTTAACGTTTACTTCACACAGACCAAGAATTTTAATGGTCGTCTTCGAGGGCTGTTAACGTTTAATGTTAACTTTAAACAAAATTTACTTTAGAGCAAGAAGACTCTAGATCTGTTGCCTGCTGTTCAAAATGAACTCCAATCTCTAAATCAAACATACATTTTCACCTCATTCACAACACATAGCTCCTCCAAACTCATGAATGTTATGACCCCCTCCCCCTAACTACCACCAGGTACACTCATGAAACCTCTTTAATTTGCAACTGCACAACCATATCTCCAACCGCAAGAGTTCCTTTAGCTTAAAGACACGCATCAGTGTCAAAAACATATTTGTGTAAAATGCTGGTTTAAGGTTTTGAAAAAAGGGAGTAAACCAAACCTAAAATAACATGTTTTTTGTTTTCTGTGTTTAAAGTAACAAACCTACTAACACTGTGATGCATGTGCATAATTAAACGGTCTATGTAATGGTGAATTAGGATACAAGAGCGAGACGTTATATTTTCATATGCAACATTGACGAAGAGGATTCAATTTGCAAGTGTGCGTAGCCAGACTTACATTTTCTTTTACTCATAATAATGAAAATATTAATAAATTTGATGCATAATTTCCAAATGATGTTTTTTAATCATAAGTGGTTGTTATATTTAGATTTAAATCTAAAGTCTAAAGAGAAAACGTAAAATTGATCAGTGAATTTTGTATATTGTGTTTTTAAGTAAGTTCTCATTATCGTCACGTTTTTAAGACCCCTAGATGACTTACATAGTCGTGAATAGTCGATCTTAATTTTCACGTTCATTTTTTAAATGCGTGTCTTTATTGCTCTGCATTATCTGTTAAATTTTCAGTTATGTACAGAAATTAACTATCTAATGTGAAAATCTTTGTCTGGTTCCACGTGTTGATTGTAAATCGATTCCTCTTTCAATTATTTTCATTAAGGACAATCTGTTAGTCGATCATTTTCTCGTATTTGTTCAGTATTACCGTATGCATATTTTGTAAATGATGTGTGCGCTTTTGTAAACAAGTCCATTCTTTTTACGACTCCATTGCGAGATACACCGTTATTGACGCTGTCTTATATTAAAACATAGTTTACTCTTTGCCCTGTAGTCCTTGTCTTTTGTGTCTACAGCCAAACAGTCGATGGATGCATCCATATCAATTGCGTCGAAGAGATTGAATGGGATAGCGTTTCCTCAGTGACCACATTATGTAACCACGCGATATAGACCAATTTCACCGTCTAGCCACAGTACATCATTACAGGAAAATGGAAATAAATACCCGCATTAAAGGCTAGAACCAGCCAAGGATGATGCGGGTGTAACCATTAACTGCCTGATACGTTATAGTGAAGAATTGGATTAACGAACGTCTATTAGTTTCCTTCATTGCCTTAAAGTCTCTGGAACTTTGGTTGTAATATCATAAGGGACATAAATAAACGGATTTGGTGGTCAGGGCATGGCTCATGATGTGAGGTTTGCTAATATTTTGCTAATGCTACCGTCATTACAATAACTCTCATCGTTACCAAACGCTGTAATAAACGAAAGGTACAAAAGGAAACATATATAAAAAACGATACACAGTTTTATATTTCGAGTACTAGCTCTCAGACAGATTTTGAAATAATCTGCAATAATGACTTAGATTTTCATTGTAAATACTGACCATTTTCACCAGCTCTAACATAGTGTTACGAGCGGATGTCTACCCATCCAGGCAATGACCACGTTCGACGTTGCTGGACTAATGAGCCCGTCCCAGGATTACACCGCAACGCTGGAAAATTCACATCTTATTCCTTGGCTGTTAGAATAAAATCTACTAGCCCTGGGGTGTCGGGATAGGGGAATTGTGCACCCCTGATAAAACTATCTATATGATGTACCTTTTTCATATTCAAAAGTTCAACCATCCCTTGGTAATGACATATTGTGGTAATTATGAATGCGTTAACCTTGTCTATCTTGTGTCATGATCACAGGTGCAGACGACTACAGAACATTACAAACAGATTTTGCTGCCTATATCCTCCATGCAATTAATATAAATCAGTACTGTTCAAATCAATCACATGGATGGATTGATTGATTTATTTTAATTACACAGGATCAAAATGGTAAAAAATGAAAAATAATTTGATGCCAGAAGAACAATGAGATGGCGAGATGAAATGAAACATTAATCAATTTTAACCTTTAAGTCGGTCGATACCATGCTTTTATAGACCCTGGAAAGTTCTCCGTGGGCTGATCAATCACAGTATAGACTGCAATAAATGACAATACTATTCATTAACGAAATAGATATTTTATATATAAAAATCACAGTTCGATTCGACAGTTGACAGAAAATAATACCTAGCTTAATAATATAGAGTTTCAAGGAAACGAACCGTCCTGATTGGATAAAAAAACGGATTTCTCAATTGAACTTTAATTTTGAACCTTCTGAACTGTTATACTTTACTCAAACGGCTGACATTGCATAACTATAGCTAAAATAGTAACAGGGTATAACCAATCAGATTCAGAAACAGTTTAGTAACTAGTAACAGAATTAGGTGATGTTAGACAGACTACGATGCCGCATTGTTAAAGGGTTATTTATTTACAAATGTGCAAAAGCAAACATATTGAATAGCCTTTAGGAGGGGAGAACACATTCTGGGGAGTGAAATAAGACGCATAAATATAGTAACAGCCAATGCCGTGACCTTGAACCTTGGTTTACACGCATGGCAGCAATATGCAAATTACCGTCCCATGACAATGCATCCATCAGCGAATGTTCATCAAAAGGCGTTCGGGTCTTCAGAAGATAAAGCCAGAACAAGCATTATATTCACATTTTACATTTTACTGATTACTTTGACCTTGATATTAGGAAAGTGGTACGGAAAGTTTGTACGCTACACACCCTCCAGTCGTGAATGATCTATATCGGACACGCACAGGTGTAACCCATCTGTGTCCTTGTTTTCAGGTGAGGAGCAAATGAGCTTGAAAAGATAGAATATAGAAAATTAGAGCAAACTTATCCATGCACGACTGTACATGTATTGATTATATACTTCATGAATATTAAGATAAGTTTCAATAAAAACTCGAAATTTCCCCACAACGATCAGTTAAAAAAGAGTCACAACGCGAATATTTCCGAACGTCAGAATTTCCACTTTTACAGTAGTTCGTATTCTCACATGTTAAACGTTTATCAGGTCATGTAAAGGAGTAAGATGTCCTGAAAACGTAGCATTTTTAGCGTTACAAAAACATGACGTCACAATTTGAACGTATTGGGAACGCCATACGGATTGCCAACCGAAAATATCATTTGTCAACTTACGATTTATGTACGTCCAAACGCTTAGCGATGAAAAAATGAAAACAATATATAATATAAACGATAGCTATCTATATCATTGGATTATATCCTGTGTCGGTAAACACACAGTAACACCTCGGGTTATCTGAAGATGACTATTCACACGACGCAACTAAATACAATGTAAACAATGACGTCATCAATGAAATCACGAATGTCCATACAGCTTTGCTATCTGCAGAAACGACTAACCTTGGAGCTAGAGCATCATCGGATGGGAACTTATCGACTCTGACGGCTATGACGAGAAGATATCAATTACTCCTATACGTGAACATTCTATCGTGTTGACAGAAAGACGAGAATGGGTAAAGGACCTTTGTATTTTGTGACGTATGCTATTTATCAACAACGTGATTGATACCGATATTATCCGTTCAATTGTAATGAGCAGACAACAATTCCCACGGGAATATCAGATCTTTGCAGACAGCTTCCGCCTGCTGGTGCCTGTAATGGCAGAGCCGCTGATGTATCTTTGTCAGCCTCATGATTTATATGCTGTCCAGCTGTGTCCAGTGTCGGTCATTGTTACGGGTTCTAGGCAAGTGTTTACTTCTGTTACGTCACTGTACTTGTTGTCCTTGTCTAGTCCAGGAATCGATGTATAGCCTAAAAAGAAAAAAAAATAATAGCCTTCAGAATACACAAGAAAAAATACGAAACAATGAATGAATGACTATGAATACAAAAAGACAACACCACGAACTAAGAAGAAACAAAACAAAAGGAAAAAGCAAGCACGCCAGCAATTTCAAAACGACGAAATCAGATGTCGCAATTAAGAAAGCATTTCTTTTTGAACAATGTAAACCTGCTTATTCTAGTCATTTATTCGACATATTTACAAAACAATGCATACGTTTTGTTAGTGATCAGCTGTATCTGGTAAAACAAAAGTATTTCATGTGAAAATTTTACTTTATCCGTTGGATATCCATTTGTCTTGAAATGTATTTGCTGTATTCCTGCAGAACCTATTCATTTATCTTATATCATTCATTCGCTGTAACCGCTAATTCACCCATATTTCATGTAGATTTTTGCAGTTTTTCCCCTGCCTTTTTCTTTGCAATATTTTGATTAACATTATATACCATAGAAGATTATCATGTTTCAATATGATTTTCCAAAGATTTTTTTTTTTTTTATAATTTGTTTATTTTTAAAGACATTTTTATTACATAAATACATAAACACACATACACCCACATACATACAATTCCCATTTGCATGGTTTGTCTCTTGCATCGTCATATCTTTCATCATCATCATCCTCATCGTGACTGAATATCATCATCAGCCTTGTCAATCATCATCAATAGTAATACACCATTATCATCTTAATACATCATCATCATCAACAACATCATCACCAATCTATCATCATC